CTCAGCGAAGTCTACCTTTCCTTCGTGGATCAGGCCGTGAAGGAGCAACTGGACAGCGTCGCCCCAGGAACCCAGGTGTTCAGATATGTGGATGACTATCTGGTGCTCCACGACTCCGGCGCGCCCACAGCCGCCATCCAGAAAGCCTTCACGGATAACGCAAATGGCCTGAGCTTCACCAGGGAGGACCCCTCGGCGGAGGGTCTCCAGTTCCTGGACGTACGCCTTGTGGCCACCCAGGGAGGCACTTGCTGGCGCTTCCAGCAGCGGACGCAGAAGCCGGTGCTACCATTTACTAGCCACCATTCAAAGACAGTAAAAGCAGGCATCGCAAAAAGTCTCATCTCCTCCACCCGCACAAAGTCCTGTCAACACCTCTCCTCATCTAGCCTGGAGGGACAGCTCAGCCGCCTCACAAACGCCGGATACCCGCGCGACCTGCTGGCCTCCACGCTCAGAAAACTAATAGTTGAAAAAGCCGCCGCTCGGAAGCCTGCCCGGCAGAGGTATACAACCATCCCCTATTTCCACAACACCGCCCACCGACTAAAAACAGTGGCTCGACGTTTCGACATGGACGTTGCTTTTTCGTGCCCCTTCAAGCTGAGCGCCATGTGCCGCCTGGTAAACTCTCCCCCCTCCTCCCAAGATCAGCTGCGCCAAGAGGCATGCGGCCCCCTTTGTTCCCTGCGCGGTCGGACAGGTGTATTCAGTGCCCTTCTCGTGCGGGGCAGAGTACATCGGACAGACGGGCCGCTGCCTCAACGACCGCCTGCGCGAACATGAGAGAGAAATAGAAAAAAACGACGAGGACTCCCAACACCCCATAGTCCATCACCTCAAGGTTTGCGCTCCATGCGCCCCCGAGTTCCCGTCCGCGCGTGTTCTGGGGGCCAACAAGAACCGCTACGGGCGCGAGATCGTGGAGGCGTTCGCCATAAAAGAGGCGCCGAAGAACATTTCCTCGGCCTCGCTGTCGCTGTCCGAGAGAGAGGTTACATTCCTGAGACCGGAGTTGACGGCCTTGGCGGGCCTGGCGAGCGCCCCTTGCTCCTGAGAGGGAAATCGGGATGCTTCCTTCCTTCCTCTCCTTTCGCTGTCTCTGCGCTTTACTTTCCCCCAGTTTTCTCCCGGGTCCTTTTCTTGCCCCCCCCCCCCCCCCCCGCCCTCCTTCCCCTTCCCCCTCCTTTTAACTTTCCCTCTCCTATAGTGGAGCTCCGAAGGCGAAGCGTCCGGCAATAAATTCATTTGTTTGTTGAAAGTTGAAAGATGTGTTGTCCCGTCCCCTGTTTTTACGTATATAACTCTTTCTAAACCTACATCATTACCAACGCGCTCACTAAGAAGTTTATGGGTATAGCTTGCTTGTAATATAAAGTAATCATATTTTTTTTTAATTTATTTATTTTTCTAAAAATTGACAAACATGCCTGCTCGAACGACAAAAGGCAAACTTTGGAGGTCTGTATCTCATGAAATAATTTAATCATTATGATATAATTTGCAGATATTATTCTACTAATATATAGCTAATATTTAAAAAAAAATAACTAAGGTATCTGTGTGATACATTAGTTAGGATATATTTAGTCAAACATGGAAAAAAAAATCAAACAAAGAAAAATTCCGATGCGAATAAAAAAAAAAAACACCACCCTCGATTTTTTTTAAATTTAGGTAACCTGTTATACTCTATTTCGGCATTCATTTCCATTAAAAACATGTTGCATCATTTTATTGAGAAAGAAGATACAACTCCCCAAAGTAGGGTCCTTTTTCAAAGCCTACACTTAGCAGTGTTTTATACAAGAACTGACTCTGAGTTCCAGTTTCATGAAACCAACACTCATCTTTTATATATTTTTATTCAGATGAGGCCAATGATAACTAAAGAAATCGTTCACACACTTAAATTAAGGAGAAACTACTGTGTACAAAGAGGTATCATATTACGGACTAGTGATCCGAGAAAAGATAATGCAGCCATCGGCCACTAGGAACTTTGTTTACTTTATTCTCCTGCGACACTATATGCTATTCCTCTTACGCTCTACCTTCATTTCTCTCTCTCTCTCTCTCATATATATCCCTGACATATATCCAGAACAAAAACATGTTCAAGCATTCCCTTTCTGCGTGGTAGTGTTCTGTGGCTAGCAAAAATCATTTCCTCGCTAAGCTCACGATTATGGCAAAATAGTTGCCGGAAACCGCAGACGACACTCGTCGCTAGTTCTGGCAAAACGGCCGATACAATCTTTTTTTCGCATTTCCCCGCTCGCTGTCAAGGACAAGGGGGTTCGCTTCAACCAGCAAAACATGGCCGCCGACGCCTGTTTACTGAGCAGTCATGCCTGTCGCCATCTCACTCGCTGGCGTCACGGGCGATAATATCAGGCACAAAGGGGCACACCAACCGGCAGCATTATCCCCAAATACTCGAGCCTCGCGTAAATACATAGAGTGTAAACGCTGTCGCCATGTTATCGTAGTAAGACCGCCCCCCCCCCCCCCCTCCCCCAACGGGGGACTGCAGTACGCGACAGCGTACTAACACAACGGCGACGATATCGACATCGCGGGCTCCGAATTTTCCCATAGTTCTACTCCACGGGCATTTCTCGAAACGCTTGATATTGTGTACGCCCGCCTGGAAGGATTTCAGGCGCGTAGTTAAGATAAGGCGGTTCTCAGCGGCAAAAGAAAGCAATTTCACAAAAGCTTAGAAGCGGCGGCGACGCGTGTGCGGTGAACGCTTGTAGTTTTGGTGTAGACAGGGTGTGTGTGTTCTCGTTGTTGACACGAGCCGGCGATAAGGCACTGCAGGCGGTAGCTCAGTACAGCAAGGGCTAATCCGAGTGACCATCAACGTAACCCCACCGCCAACCCCTCGCGAACCGGTCGCCGACATGGCTCAGGCTGTGTCATGAACCACGTGGTAGAAGCTCGGGTGCTTTCATATCAGCGCGTGGAGGGACGACAGTGCGATTCCGGAAAGTCTTTTTCGAAGGCCGCTGACCACAATTTTTTGTCTGGAGACTTTCCCTCTTTCTTCCTTTGACGTGGACCAAGCTTTGCCGACAGCCTCAGTTGTGACCTCTCTTTTCAAATGTACGTTTGCAGTGAGTGAGCTCCTCAGCCTCGGACTTGTCACTTGTGCACCCAGTAGTTCTTTCACTTGGCAATTATATGCCATCAGTTGGGGCTTAATTTCTATTATTTATGTATACATTATGAAGACGTCCTGGAGCTCCGAACGAGTGTTTTGTGCAGATTACTTTTGCAAACACAAAAAGACTATACCAAAGCAGCGGAATTTTCGAAGTGTTGGCGAGTTGGACCTAAACTCGTTGAAGCAAATTCTTCCGCCTGACTGTTCCACCAAAGTGAGTGCGACGGACTACCTGTGCTACCATTGCTTCATGCACATCACTAAGGAGATCTCAATACGAAGCTCAGAGCAGTGCCCTGACATATTTGTGCCAGCTGAAGAAGCAATTGAAGATCTAAATCGCAGCATACTACCTACAGATGTGTCGCCGCTGAGACAACCAAGCGTCGTAAGAAGTCGGGACAGGCCTGCCTATGTCAAGAGAAAGCAGACAGAACTGGAGCAGGTTGCTGTCAAGAATATACGCTCAAGGCTACGTATTGCGTACGACAGGGACGCACCATCGGGGTCGTCCGAACCAACATGCTCCACATGCACTGAGTGGGTGGACAACTTTCGGCAGGCCTTTGAAACCGCCACCTCTCTCCGGGAACGTTGTCAACTGCTTACACTCCTGCCGTCGACACTGACGAAGAATGAGGTTCAAAAGATGATTCCACAGGCCTCAATGTACCTCATCAGTAAATCCCGAAAACTCAAGGAAAAGCATGGCGTGTGGTATGAGCCGGATCCTTACACGAGGTGCAAGGTGAGCCCTGAGAACATGTCTGCTGCCCTAGAGTACTTCACGAAAGACGAGCTACAATGTTCGCGCCAAAGTCCCAACCAGAAGGACGTCATCTCTGTCATGCTCAACGGAGAGAAAACGTTCGTGCCAAAGCGCTTCATGACACGCTCAATACGAGAGGCCTTCCGCATATACAAAGACAAGCATCCCGATTCCGGCGTTGGGCTAACGAAATTTTATTCGTTGCGCCCTAGATGGGTCCAATGTATTCCACACCAGGAAGTGTGCGTTTGTGTGCGCTGCGCCAATTATTATCTTTGTATTGCCGCTCTAGAGAACGTTACAGGCTCAACATTCAACACTGGTGAAATGAACTCGGCATTTCTGTGCGACCCAGCAACAGAACTGTGCCTTCAAGGAGACTGTGATCACTGCCCAAAATGCCAGTTTCTTACACTCCAGGAACTTGATATCCCGGAGGATGAAGAGATTGTGCTTGCAACATGGGAGTCCGGCGACCTTGTGAACAAAACTTTGGAACCTGAGACTTTCCTAAAAGTCATCCAAGTGACGGTTGGAAGTTGGGTACTTCACAACCATATCCGGCAAACGCAAGGTAAAGCGATCTACGATGAAAAACAGTGCATGCAACGCGGTAGCATTGTCTTTCATTTTGACTTTGCTGAAAACTGGACCATCGTGCTTCCTGACGAAGTGCAAGCATATCACTGGAAAAGAAACAAGTTTCGATATTTACATGTGTAGTGAAGACAAGAAAATCTACAAACAGCTTTGCCATCATCAGTGAGGACCTGTGTCACGACGCCGCTCACGCTTGCTTGGCTCTAGAAAAAGTGAAGGAGTGGGTTGAAGACAACGTTGTGGTATACTCGTACGTGACGTACGTAAGTGACGGCGCCGCCAGTCATTTCAAGAATCGCTACCAGCTTCACCAATTTGCAAAGGACGATTGCCCACAAGCCCAGTGGTTATTTTCTGCATCTGGACATGGGAAAAATGCATGTGACGGAGTTGGCGGACTCGTGAAGCACCAGGCCACGCTGAACAACCTGAGAGAACGTTCAGTAAGCGCAATTCAGACGGCCAGGACAATGGTGAGCGTTCTATCAAAGAAACTGAAAGGCGTGCATCTTGTATATCTGGACGAAAATGAGGTTGTTCGGTATCGTGAACAAAAAAAAGGAGTGGCTGACGGTGCGCGCCTTCCCTGGCATTCAGTCTTGGCACGCGTGGCGGCTCAGCAAGTCATCAACAGAAGGGACCTGTGACGTATATGTAGCACGGACAGTCGGATCTGCTTGGAAGCAACTTTATTAAATGGGTGCAGCGAGGAAAACCTTAGCGTAAAGTGCCGAATTTGATTTCCCAAGGACTGCTCATTTTGAATGCAGGGACATCTTATTTATCACATTTTTCTTCACGGGGTATTTAACCTACTGTTTTTGTTGGTGGTTACTAATAATTTTTATCTGATCACTATAAAAAAAATCCCAAAATGTTATCCTCGAGCAGGATAAAATATATCGGCTTGCCACGATTCATTCATACACCGAGAGCATCGAAGCTGCTCCAGTTAGGCACTATGGCATCCGTCACCTGAAATTGTTTGTAATCGTAAATACACAGCCAACCTAAATATCTTACTATTATATCTTTGTTTTTGTGTGTGGAAGTAAAGTTATTTATTTTACTCTAGATGTAAAATATGCCGGAAGGTACAACTTCACACTGCATCATCTTTTCTCAAATCATTAGTCTCTAATATGATACCACTTTGTACGCTTATGTAAAATGCTGTATATAGTTTCTCCTCCCTTTTACTGTGTGACCGATCGCTCTTTTTATCAATGACCTCATCTGAATAAATGTATATAAAAGATGTGTGCAAGTTTCATGAAACTGGAACTCAGAGTCACTTCTTGTATAGGACACTGCTAAGTGTAGGCTTTGAAAAAGGACCCTACTTTGGGGAGTTGTTTCTTCTTTCACAGTGCAATGATGCAACATGTTTTTAATAGAAATGAATGCCGAAATAGATTATAACAGGGTACCCAAATTTAAAAAAAATCGAAGGTGGTGTTTTTTTTTTATTCGCATTGGAATTTTTCTTTGTTTGATTTTTTTTCCATGTTTGCCTAAATATATTGTAACTATTGTGTCACTCAGATACCTTATTTATTTTTTCAATAATAGCCATATATTAGTAAAATAATGTCTGCAAGTTATGTAATAATGATTAAATTATTTCATGAGATACAGATTTCCAAAGTTTGCCATTTGTCGTTCGAGCAGGCATGTTTGGCAATTTTTAGAAAACTAAATAAATTTTTAATAAATATTATTACTTTATATTACAAGCACGTTGTATCCATAGTTTGTTTGTAAAAAGTTTTAAAATTCTCCTAATTTTATTGTTTTAATTATTCACTTTCAAACTTGCCCCCTCCATCAGTGCGCGTTATTGCAACTGTCCACCTCTCCCTGCCTTACGATTTTTCTTGTCTCCAAATTTTTTTTCTGGTCAAAACTAAGTGTGGATTCGTTTATACCAGACACTAGACAATGTCATATAAAAATATCAGTTGATTTAAAAATGTCGACCAGCCACCCTTTGGTCGATCTTATCTGAAATCACCCACCTCTTTATTTGACAGAGCTACCGACAGCGCACCCTCAGTTGTCAATAAATTGTTGTCTTTTTTACCGGTGTACAATGTTCTGATATCATTTTTGCGGGTCTATTAATATACAGAATGAGGGATTACTAATTTCTCAGGAATTAGTAAATATGCCCAATGACCTTCAAGAATATTACTAGGAAGAGGATTTTTTTTTTTTTTAATGAAGTGGGCGAATGCGAATTGTGTTAAATTGCCACATTTGACGCAGAATCCGCTAAGTCAAAAAAAAAAAAAAAAATCGGTGAGCTTTTCTCCGCATCTGCCGGTTTTGCGGTGAGCTTTTCTCCGGTGAGCTTATCTCCGGTGAGCTTTTCTCCTGTGAGCTTTTCTCCGGTGAGCTTTTCTCCGCCGCCCCCTTCCCGTCCTTGCTGCATGTGCGTGCGGCTTGTCGGTGTCGATTTTTTTCTTGTTGTTTCCCGCTCTAGTGGGACTGTCATCAGTGACCATAACACTAGATCTTTGTTTATTTACGTGCAAGAAAAACTCTTGTCGGTTGCGCGCTCGCGCCATTTTACTTCGGCTCAAGCGAACCCCCTGTTACGATAGGCTCATGGATTTTGACCATGACAGCTAATCTTAGAACACTTTTTTTAACTAGCTTTCTTACATTTCTCTTCACAGATGTTACTCCAACTACAGGTAAGAAAACACTGCTTTTAATCATAACTTTGTCCTGTAGCTTTGTCAAAATAAAAACAAGAAACCTACACAGACCGGGTATTTCTATGCTTTGAAGTCTAATAGAAAATCCTGGCAGTGGATTGTGAACCAAATTACAATTACCGTTTCACAGCCGCGCTTTAATTGAAATGATGTACTGGTGCGCAACCATTGCAAATCAAACTCTGAACTTGTAGAATGCATTGATAACGAAGTCAATCAGATATAAGCCGTAGTGCCACTTTTGCATTTATAGCTAAACACAAAGCGGCTGGTGGGCAATTATGTAATGCCCTTGCAAAAAGGGCCTTTAAGCAATCAATAAATGGTTGACATTTAATTATCTCACAATGTTTATCAGTGATTCGATCTAAACATCCACGTGTCGGAACTAGTTGGGTTGGTTCATCTTGAGCAAACTTTAATGTATGTCAATATTTACTTTATTTCAGTAACTACAGGCGCCACAACCACAGGCGAGTAAACAGTCTTTTTTTTTTTCGCGTATTTTTTTACTTTTCACGTAATATTTTGAGCTGAGGCCATTCGAGGGTGGAGGAGTTATGCATGCTAGAGGAACTGTATATGCTATTTAGCTACTGTTATATAGAAGCAAGCTAGAAATGCCACGCGTCAGCAGTCAGCACTGCATTTCCCTATCCGAGATTGCCCTTCAGTATATCAAAAGCTGAAGATGTTCGAGTCAGAGGTGACGTTGACTGAATAATCGGCGATGTTTAATATTTGGTTCCTCACCCAATCTTCAAAACAACTTTGCGTCCCCTCACCCGCAACACACATTCGACAACACATTATAGAACGTTGCATCCATTCCATATGTTGGCCCTAAACACGCTTTAACATCTTCGCCAGAATGAAACTTTTTGCAAAAGTTCTGCGCGTGCGCCCGCCCTCCTCACGTAGCGGTGAAAGGTCGAACTACGTTTGGCGTCCGAAGGGGGAACTGCGCTACTTCTCCTGCCTCCTCCGCGACTCAGATAAGCCGCGGGGGAGGCAGGATGGGTATCGAAGCTTGCCTCCCGGACGCCAAAGATAGTTCAAGCTTTTGCCTATTGGTGTCGTTCAAAGGACTTGTTTTCTTTTGCATTTAGTGAGAACAGGCGAATTCTTTCGAACGCGTCATCCGAGCAGGCGTACACCGTGATGACGCACACCATCCGGCTCGTTCTCTGTTGAGATGAAGCATAGCCTCTTATATACTGACAAAGCCTGGCGGATCGCCATGAGAAGCGGCCGCCGAAATGGAAAAGGGAGAGCGGCAGACAACGGATGAGAGGAGAGCCACGTGACTGGCGCCCCGCTGTGGCGAGACGCCGAAACACACTTCTCCCGAGCGAACAAGTGTATTTCAGGTCCTCGCCGCTGCAAAAGCTGTGCGCTGACGTCCAGGTTCCCCGAGAAATGGCTCTTTGATGCTCTGTGCTACCAGATCCTCGCGCTCCAACATTGCGACCGGGCACTCTATGGCTCCGTTGTCGAAGTGCAAACTTTGTGAGTATAGAGGAGGCTATGAATGAAATTACTAAGATTAAGATAACGGACCTACGATGTTGCAGCTGCATTGAAGTTGCGACGACGAAAGTATGACACCCAATTTCGCTTCATCTGAGATTGCCGTCCGAGGCGCCTTTACGACTTACGGCTTTATGGTCAGTTCAATTTTAACACTTTGCGTGCACCGTCAATGCACCAAGCTGGTGGTCATTTCTGCTTGTTCTTGCCGAAAAAAAAAACAAATTCATTGATGCAAAATGTAGGCTGCAAAAAGGCACGTACTAGTCATCATCAAGGGTACCACAATGGCAGCCGATGTGACGTCAGTGCAAGCCACGTAACCATCATCCATCCCACTGGATGGATGATGGTTCGTCTGTCCAAATACTCGCCGTTTCCGGTTAGAAGTTAGAGCAGTTGAGCGCCGGAAGTGCCCATCGAAGCTTCTGTTTGCAGGAACTCCCAACACGACGACCACCGTGACGGTGCCAGCCAAGGTTTCCAAGCGAGGTGACTATAGTACTAAGAAATTCTTTATTGTAAGGTGCCGCGAGAACTTTTCACCATAGGCTCGTTCGATTTGCATGCACCTCCTGCACCGGTGCATAAACGTGCGGGGCGGTGTACCTCCTGTATGTGCATTGAGATACGACCGGAAGTGCGCCGCCCTACACTTTTCTGCACCGGAGCAGGAGGTGCAAGCAAATCGAACGAGCCTGTGGCCACGATGAGGGCGCAAAGGACCTGGATGAATGAATGGATGGATGCATGATGGCTGTTCGTTCTGAGTCGGGCGCTGACTTGCGCCACCTAGTCATATGTCTTATTTCCCTTTACTTGAGATTGAATAGTGTTTAAGCCCATTTGATACGATTTAAATATCTATCCGCACTCTTGAATATAGCAACCATTTCTCTCATCATATTTTTTTTTTTTTTTTTTGCAACGAGCGCTCTCTGGGGGGTTTGCTTGTGAACAACGAATGGAGCGCAGATCAAATACTCTTTGTACAGCTGATCTAGAGTTATTGTAAAAACGATTGTTCTCACGACTTTATTACTCTTCTGTTTATTTCAGCAATGAAGTTCGTGCCATACAGAGAGTTCGGTGAGGCCCCATCAGACCTGTACATAACGTGTTACAAGTAGCCCGTTATTTGTACTCGGTTACTTTTTTTGGTAACGAAGTAACGACTTCGTTTCTTTTTAATAGAAGGAACTATAAAGGTATTTCCGTTACTTTGTGATGAAGTCGCAAGGAACGGTAATTAGTGCCATCTGGAGGGGAACATGTACATCACAAGTACCCAACTTAGTTCTCACCACAGCTCGAGCCTGTAACTTACGTGATAATAAAACGCTACATAAACCTTACAAGGATGTGCACACAATATGGGGGTATAGCTACAGTTATCCCCAAACAAATGCGTCAGAAAGCAAAAAAAAGAAAAGATTAATAACAAATATTGGAAGTGAGTACTGCTTCATAAAAACGAATTTCAAAGGAACGAGATAATAACGGGTTCTTTTCAAGTTGAAATAACACGTTTCTTTTGAATTGCTGTAACGTTGTAATGTACATAGTTACTTTATGAGTGAGTAATGAATAACGGTATTTATAGTCACTCCATTTTAGTAACGCGTAGATGTCTAGATCCTATTCTCCAGCATCGTACGTTTGCGGTCAGCACACGGGTGTGGCCGTCATTTCCCGCGTTGAAACCAAGACGAGGCGGATGTCCCCGGTTTTCAATTAGGAACTTGTAACTTTCATGATCGGCCGGAAAATACCGATTAATAAACGCCGGATCGTACGAATCAGTAGAAAACAGGTGGCCATGCAGAGATGCTGCAAAATAAACCGCCCAGACTACTATATTGATTAGATACTGAGGAGATATAGAGCTCCAAGATACAACATTCAAATCACTAAGGAGCTATATTAACTCCCATGCGACTTTTGTTGTACGAAAAAAAAAATGTGCAAGATTTTTTTGTGCGTCCTCGTGATAGCTTTTTTTTTTTTTTTTTTTTTTTGCACACCCCTTGGTATAATGTACTTAATAGCTGACGGAAATAAACAATTTAAATCAAATCAAATCCTGTGCACTATGCAGATTGTGTTTTATCTATTATACTACGTATAAATTAACCACATAAGAGTAATGTTCCGGATATCGGTAATGGTCGCGCCGTCTCGAAGACACGTGCGATCGGAAAATTTCCATCAACCAAGCAAGCTTTTGAGGCGCGGCTGCTTGCAACAGCTTGCAAAGCCAATGTCTGAGCGATGCTGGCCATATTTCCGGTCGGTATACCACGGGCTGCAGAGGACGTGCCAGTAATCCCCGCCGTCCCCGAGGTCCTGATCTGCGGCACGAGCGGCGTGGGCAGCGGCGAACTTCCCCGCGCCATCAGCACCTACTGTTCCCACGCCATCTTCACGGGGGAACTGATCGTAGATGAGGACGACTACGGCGCCTACTACTTCCACGTGCCGGGTATGCCTTGCCACGTGTACGCTCGGATGTGTGTGTGGATGTGGGAGGGAGGGGATTGGCAACTGTAACCGGTAAATATGCGTCGTACCTTCGCTTCTAGGCACTAAAAGTGTTGGTTCACAAATAGATGGCCAAGACGCCACAGGGTTAAACAACAATCTCAAACCAGGTCGTTCATTTGCCACGATTAATTAAGAACCCCATAGATGTTTCGCCTCCAGCACGCGCCCGTTGTCTTCTAGGGTTGTGGTTGCGTCTGCGACAAAGTGTTACTACAAGCAGCGGCACAAGGTAAAAGTTAAACAAACAAAAAATTAAAAAAAGACAAAGATTGGGAACGACGGAAATAATTATATTGCTTCTCTTATTGCATCTTCTATTGTAACATATCCGTCACCTTGCTTGTGATATGTTACCAGAAAGATACCATAACACTAAATAAAAGAAATTGCGTCGATTACTCATCGAGACTAGCAAATGCTCCAGGCAGTTCTTTGCACATGTAAAATGCGTTTTTGGGTCGGTCAATCTCGATGAAATCGTCTACGTACCGAGATTCATAGCCAGACTTCGGACGCAATGCGCATTGCACATGTATAGACATTTTCCACACGGGCGCCGCCATTTTGAATCGGAAAGCTTCCGGTACGCGGAAAAACGTAGTTTTGCTGTCGCCATATCAGTGGGAAAAACTCACGTTTCAGTCGCGACTGTATGGCATCCTTGTTTTGCCTCTTCTAGATTCTTTTGTTTATTCCAGGTTGTAATGCCTCGCCTTTTGTTCATTCTGAATTCCGGATTCGTCAACATGTGGCTCGGGACGAGAGCAAACGAAAAAGGTCAACATTGCAGCCACCCCAATTCGTTTTTCTCTTTCACCTCTCCCACGTTTAGAATAATATATGTTCGAACCGAGAAGACATTAGTTATCGCTACAGTCACACGGTCGCTAAAGCTGGCCACTGGGAGTGAGGCGCTACTCTCAAGGCTACCCCTGCATGCTGCGTGGGTGACACTTTACATTACGTTTTCAAAAAGCTACTCTCGGCGGAAACGAATTCTCCGTTAAGAGTTCGGATTTGCAGGTAACGCGAGTCCGAAACGAAGTTCTGTATCGCGGGCTCGTGGGCGTCGAGTGCTAGTTTAGGTCCGGTAATGTCATGTCAAGTCAGGTAGTTCAGTTAAGTTCAAAACTTCAGATCAGGTCAGGTCAGGTCTGGTCAGTTCAGTTCAGATCAGGTCAGGTTAACTTAAGCTAGGCTAGACTATGTTAGGCGAGGCTAGGCCAAGTTAAGTTAGCTCAGGTTAGGTCAAGTCAGAAAGGGTTAAGTTAGGTGGTATCAGGTTAGGTTAGGTCAGGTTAAGTTTGGTTAGGCCAGCATACGTTAATTTAGGTCAAGTTCGAAAAGGTTAGTTTAGGTGAGTGTTTTACGAAGCAAACTATTTTCATCCTCGTGGTTTCATCGTTTTTGACGGGTGCAAGTGTAACATGTTTTCTTCCCTCTGGCCCGGGCCAGACAAAGAGGCCCTGTCGGAGTTCCTGAAGGTCAGGGACCCCGTGAAGCGCTACGTGTCCGTGGGCTGCTCCATGTTCCACGACAACGGCAGCACCGCCCTGGTTGTAGCAGTCTCTCGCTTCCTCAGCAAGCACGTGCTGTCGGGAGTTGAGCTCAGGGCGGGCTCCCAAGAGGACCTGGACGCCGCCGTCCTCCTCTTACGGGTAAGGCCGACACACACCAACACCTCGATAGAAGAGGCAACACTGCTGGGCCTTCTACGTCGCCTCCTGGCGGCCATCAAGAACCTCCTAGAGTTCAAGGCCGTTGAGCTGGACTCCTCACGTCACCTGCCTATCATATAATTTAGCGCTAGAGTGCCGCCTGAATGAGCGCTAGGATTGTATAATGAGTTAGGGAGTTTTCAATGAGATTAGGGAGTTTTCGTAGGCCTACTGCGCCTGCGCGCCGATGGCCTTGACTGTGGAGTTCCGGGTATCCTAGCGGGTCGCGGAGAGCCTTGCGGGATGGCAAAAAGGATCTACGAAAACTCCCTAATAAGAGAAATAACTGAACGTGACATATTGGTAAATGTCGCGGCTTTCTGACAACTTTCAATTAATATCGGTAGGAATGCCAATTTAGCAACTTTACATGCATCGGAACGCCAAGAAACGCGAAAAGAATTGTCTTCGCGGTGAAAAGTCCACGATTCTACCAAGTTCTGAACTGGTGTTGAAGTATTGTATTCCCGTTCAGTATGAACGAAACGACGCGCGCCTCAAAGTGCATGTGCCTGCTTCGTTTCTTCTTAGACATTCCACCGGATCCACCCGACTGACCTGTACCTAATATTGAGGATCTCATCGGCGCTCCTACCCGATAAGAAGTTCTTCGAGGACGTGTCGATGTAAGAACTTAGCAGGAGTTTCGCTCGACCTCAGTCGATGCTCCGATTGGAACTCTTTCTTTTTTATACATACAAGGAAATTGACAATTAGTCCGAGTTAATGTTGAAGCCTGGTTATTTTTGTCGATACTCGTGCGGGTGAAGCCAATCAACTATAATCACTCTAATAAAAACGCAGAATATGGTGAGGTCCGGGCACCTTTTTTTAGCTGCGCAGCCAATCACAGTGCAGCATTAGCCAATAAGAGCGCCGATGGATGAACGTGAAAACACGGATGATAAGAAAATCGTCATTGTTTTCGGGTTGCTGCAGCCTTCCACCTGCTGCATGAGCGGGAATTGTTAGCGGACCTTGGTGCCTGCCCACGTGATTCGAGTTTTCCTAAAATTGACTGGCACAAGGAGTTTTCGATGACGCTAGGCAAGTTTCTATTTGAAACCGCATACGTTTATTTTCCCTTTATAAAGGTAAGTAGTAATTTTTCTAATTATTATTTCCGTGTTTTGTTTTGCAAATTGAGACGCCCGCTATTACGGGCAGCTTGTTCCCCAAAAGAGTATCTTTCTTTTTTTTTTTCATTCATCTTGTTTGCAGGGATTTTTGAAAATATTCGCAAAAACATCCCGTATAAGAAAGAAAAACGCGCTTCATTGTTCCAAATGTACCTTCTCGCTGGCGCCTTAGCTCAAGAATGGTGTTAAGCAGCCAGGGGTGGGAGTGGCTGGGAGAGGAGGAATCGCGTCACTTTTTCGTTTACAGGGGCTCGAGTCAAACTTTGCTTCGCTGACAGACATTATGAAGCACCAACTTTCATATTTGACATATCGTTATGCATTCTCGCGCTCAGCCAATCTGCTTAAAGTAATTTGACCACTGTATTATGAAAGAAGTGTGGGTCAAGCGCTCAGTCAGTCACGTCTCACAATAGAAGAAATATGGTGACGGGCAGTGGCGTAGCGAGAACTTTTTTCCGGAGGAGGGGGAAGGGGGGGGGGGGGGGGGTCAATTGCATGTGTGTATTATAAAATCGGCTGGATTTTTTTTTTTTTTTTGGGGGGGGGAGGGGGGGAGGGGAGGGGGAGGCTGCATTCCCCCCTGGCTATGCCGCGGGCGACAGGGATTGCTTCGATTGCACTGTTCTGGGTCTAGCCAATCTGCTGTGAGCGGGCTTCGGTTCATATATCTGAGTGTGCTGAAATTTCCTCCGTAACAAAACGCACTTCACGCTTCATGCACGTATCGACGTTCTTCGGGATGCCGGCTGCGCAACGGTGTCGGTTTTAGGACACGAATGACGGCGCACGACAGCAGAATAAACTGATAACGCTATTTTGGGCTCAGAAAAAATTACAATGGCCCGTTACGCTGAACGAACCCCGACGGGATAAGCGATGAAAATTCTTTGGTCAATACTACGAGATTTTAAAGGAATCTATGGGGAGGCCTCCTAATGACCGCTGGTCCCTGGACCTGTCTGACAGGAAATTTAATTTGTACAAAACTGCCTGTTTTTGTTTCTTTTCCCTCCAAATTGGAGTCATTCGAAAAAACGTGAATTTCAAAAAAAAAAAAAAAAAAAATGTTACCGGCTTGTCTTTTTTGCATTTTATCTGATTTATCCCGAAGCACGGAACCTAGATATAACTTTCTAAATAGCTAATGTAGTACGTGTCAAAAAGTAGAGAGAAAGAAAGAAAAAAAAACACTGAAGTTTTGTTGCAGGGCCATCAAAACCTTAAGTGTTTTCATGTAGTTTTTAATGAGTACATTAGCTATTTTAATAAGTTGTATCACTCGACTATCAAGCCGCTCGTGAAAGTTAGCATCGTCGGTTCGACGTCAGTAAACTAAACGTTGAACTGTAGTTTTCTTTTTTCTTCTTTTTCTTTTTTTTTTTTTTTGGGGGGGGGGGGGGATGGATGTTATATATGGGAAAAAAAGAGTGTAAGTAGTACACCCCCAATTTCTGAGAGAATGTGGTATGGAAGCGTTAAACATTCTGCCTCCGCCACAATGTCCCAGGCACCTGGAGCACATTATCTTCGAGAGCCAGGAGCTTGAAGCGGACCACCAGCATTCGATTCGGTTTCCCAATCCGTACCAGCCCTCGGAAAAGGCAGTCACCAATGGCACCTTCCTCGTGAGTAGCCTCTGTCATCCTCTGCGAAACGGTTACGCGTATTCCTCCAACCGTGGTCTCTGCTTCTTAATTGGGCGAACAGACGTTGCAGTGCTAAGCAGTTTCAAAGTCTTAGGTCATGGCCTCCTGATTAGGCACTACACACCAACAAGCATCTCGCTGAAATAGTATCCCATATATTAGGTCAAAATATTTATTTTTCGCGAAGTTATCGCACCTTCAATTTTGGTCGGAACCGTGTTTTTTTAAGCTGAAAGTCTCTACTGGCAACAACGAAGAAGTGAACAGAATGTTAGAGCGCCGACGAGCTGGTGATGATTACACATGATGAAGTATAACCCTGAAACTAGGGAGAAAGATGACGATGAGGGAGAGGAAGACTGCTGCTCTTTCTCTCCATCATTGTGACAACCGAAGACAGGGGTTCACTCTTTGGACTGTAGAGTTCGTTCCCAACTGATTCGAAGCAGGGTGTCAATTGAGTGCTTTGGAAGCTCGCTCCAGTACCCGCGAACCAGCGCGGAACAAATGCTTATTCTATTTTCTAGACTGCCTGCTCGACTTGCAAGTCTGCTTGCCACTGACGCCCTGGCACTGAAAAGTGCGGGTATATTTGAATATTGATTTCTGCGTCACTTTCGTTTTGCCGCTTTCACAATAACAACTATGAATTTCGCGATACTAAATAGCATACCGGAAAGGGTGAAGGCCGGTGATTCCGAAATTATAGTTGGTTGGGGTAGCTCTAAAAATTGCCGGAGTACCGCTTTAAAAAGGCACCCGGCGATTTTCTTACCTACCCTTATTAACTATAGGTGGCCTTTACCCTTTCCGGTATGCTACTTAGTGTCGAGAAATTCGTAATAGTTATTGTGAAATCGGCAAGTGAAAATGATGCCAAAACCAACATTCAAATATACCCGCACTTTTCAGTGCCGTGACGCCAGGAGAAGGCAGGGTGGAAGGTCGAGCAGAGCGCCATTGTATATGCTCACAGTGGCGCTAGTCGAGCAGTCAGTCTAAAAATTTACTACGCCGAGCATTTGCTTCGTGCTGCGGGGAGGATGCTTGAGCGAGCTTCCAAAGCATTCATTTAACACAATGAAACTGCTTGCAATCAGTTGGGAACGAAGTCTACAGTCCAAAGAGTGAACCCCTGCATTCTGCTGAGGTCACTTGTTAATTGCTGTCCGTGGAGGCTTTCACTTTGAAAAAACACGACGAGGACCAAAATTGTAAATTCAATAACTTCGCGCGAAAAAAAAAATCACTTTGGTCCAATATTTGGATTACTAAATTGTCAGACAAATCGGGGATTGTGGAGAAAACGCGGGAGTACCCCTTTTAAACGTTTCTTAGTTCCTCATTCTAATCCTCATCGGTATAGCTGCATCACTGTCCACGAATGACCCCCTGTAATGGGGGTGAGGGCTGTGTATGCTCCGGCAGTGCAGAGGACTTGCTCCTGATTTGTTCACCGTGGTCTGAAGGGAAGCTATATGATGGATACTTAACGAGCTATGCACCCGACCACGAGAGTTTTAGGTGGAACGAAAACGAACTATTCGAGAACGTTTTTCTCGGGTCCTTTTGAAACAATTCCAAATAGCCAGAAAATAGTTTCCATGAACAGAAATCCTTAAACCTTGTAGTCACAATTATTTGCCACTAAATTACCTTCCACTAGTCCAGTAGGTGCCCCTCACAGTGGGTCAACAGATTAGAAAATTTAACGCAATACACTTTTAGCAGCGAGACTAACTGAAAGCCGCTCTTCGACGCTACGTCATCATATCCCGTATTTCCAGAAGCAGCAGCTGTCCAAGGTATGGGCCTTGCGCCAGTCTCTGGAAAGAGCGGACGGCTGGTGCCTCAGCCTGTCCCTGGGGGTGATCAAGAACATCAGGGACAGCCTGTACATGCACCTCGCCCGGATCACCCGATACGATTACACGAGCCTGCATGAGGCAAGTATATCAGGTGCCCGAGGCTGCATTGACGCACGAGCGAGCCGCTAATAGCCTAATAGACATAATGAGCCATTTTTGCCGTCTATGGAACGTGCTCCGAGCTTACACTAGAACACTGCACGGGCCAGAATTTCTAGGCCCGGCCCGACCCCGACCTGGAAGAGACACTGCCCGATCCCGGCCCGGGCCCCGCAGCGTTTTTAGACAGAAGCTTGAGCCCAGCCCGAGCTAGACATTTATTTTTTTTAATATAAGTTTAAGCCCGGCCCGAGTTTGACAGATTATGTACATGAGCCCGAAAAAGTTTGCAGGCTTTAGTCTAAAAACTTTCTAAGCATAAAGCGAGCATATTTTATTTAAATTAATTTTAAACTTGGACCAATTTTGTTTTTTTACACGATAAATATTCTGATTTTGACGATGTATTTTCGAGAATATGGACATCACATCACAAGTGATTTTGAGAAAAAAAAAAGAGTGAGCGATATTTTGTTTAGTGTAGGCATTTTTTGAAGAGATATTGGATTTTTCGTTGTTCAATAGACCATTTGCTATATTACTCAAGCATCAAGGAGAATGCAGGGATTGGTGTTCCACGCGCCCCACACGCCCACGCCTTCCCCGTATAAAATATTCGAAGTAAACAACCAAAATAAAGCGTTGACGAACGTGCGTACAAGATGCCATTTGCTTTAGGTTTTTGCTTTAGAAAATTTACTATCGCTGCGGCCAGCATGTGCGGCGCGTGGAACACCAATCCCTGCATTCTCCTTGATGCTTGGGTAATATAGCAATAGGTCTATTCGTTTCAAAGAAAACTTTCCTCTTTACATGTTTTTTGTGAAACACAGTCACAATCACGCTAGTGCATCTTAAAAAGGCTGTATAAGCATAAAATTAACTTTGGCAGTTAGCTCATCTTTGGTGGCAATAGTAAGGCCCCCTGCACAAAGTGCAAAATCAAGATCTTTTTTTTTTTTTTTTTTTTTTTTTTAAGCAGTGGGGAAAAGACACTTATGTGTCTGCGACTGCGACTGTAGCGCCCTCGTTTTCTTGACCGCTCTTTCCCACCATGCTGGTTGAGTCACATACGTTTCCTTTTATCCACGTGAATGCTTTCCAAGTACAAGACGTCTTTATTTTTTTTTTTTTTTTTACGGAGTCAAAGTGATTTTGCATTTTGTTTGTTTGTTTTCATTGAACCTAAACGAGCAATGAGCACACTTTTTGTTATCAACAATTTAGAATTTGCGGTACACAAATTCCCAGCCATAACCCAATTTTTTTTTTTTTTTTTTAAGTTTGTTTTGAGGCCGAGAAAATCCGTGCTACCCGGCCCGAGCCCGGCCCGCGGGCCGGGCCGGGCCGGGCTCGGGTTTTCGGGATGGCCCGGGCCCGTGCAGTACTCTAGCTTGAACATCAGCTTTTATATGCAAAATATCAGACATCGCGTAGGGTGACTCAGCTTTTGTTTTTTTTCGCCTTAATAGATGTCGAAAATGTGCATAGTTTCCAAATTTCTCTAAACATTTATACTCCATCAGGAGATAAAAGTTAAGCACGAAAATCATATGATTTGTCTCACTGATCTGGATACCAAGGGTGCGTTAAAGGTGCCGGCGCAAGTTCGTCTGCTTCTTTTGCAGAGGTTGCGGTGACGTCAGAACGCCGAGCTCTTATTGGCTCTGATTGAAGAATAGTGGGTAGACTTCAAAGCAAGCTGCCTTGAGGTCTACCCACTATTCTTCAATCAGAGCCAATTAGAGCTCGACGTTCTGACGCCACCACAACCCCTGCAAATGAAGCAGACGAACTTTCACGCCGCGTTGACTTTTCTATGGCTCTATAACTTAAATATCTGCTTCACGAGATTCGACGGACCACAAAGTGTTCGCATGTGTACTCCCCTTCCATATGAAACGAACCGTTGGGTTTGTTTCAAATAGTCTCTAAACCCTGTCTCCTTGCGGTTCCCAATGGACCTTTTCCAAATACCGACGGCACCAGGCGGTGGCTGCACGAACTAAAAATCGAGGAAGTGACCTACCTGCGCTACCAATCGATACTGGGAGCTACGCTACCAGTTGCTTCGCTCTCTGAGCTGCGTCGCGTGCCCAACGCGACTTTAAAGAGGGAAATCCGTAGCGTCCCCCCATACGTCGTGTTTTTCTTTCCGTCAACTTTCTTTTTTTGAGTAACACAATTTTATATATGCTGCAATTAAGTGTTCTACTCGTCGATCTACAGCCTCATTCCGAATTTCCTCGATTTTTCGTGCCGACTTCCACCGCTTGGCATCGGGCGCTCGCGCGTGCGCAGAAAGCTTCTCGGAAAAGGTCCATTAGAGTCAACCGCGCTAGACAGGCAATTGAAGTTGAGCTAAATGTTAAGCCATCGAAAGTGTTTGTATCAGAGGGGAAAGGAGCGTGAACGGTGCGTCAGAGCCTTTATTGGCATGAAAGGGGACAAACACAATGCTCGGCGACCATGCAAAGGCACAAGAGTTTCTAGGGTAGTCTGTTTGGTCACCGAACGTTGCTGGTCGTTTGTCGGCGAGCGTGCCACTGAGGCTGCAGACTTCCCACTGATCAAACACGAGTCTTAGCCATACGCTGATGCAACGAGTGTCCAATCCGTACCTCGCGTTGGATCCTTCAGGTGAGGTAGAATATTCAGCACTATGACCTTGCTGTCTAGAAGGTGCTGCCCTAACCCTATCAACTTGCACCAAAACTTCTCAATGTCCTTCCTCGTTCTGTTCCCAGGTCTGTGGGTTGCTCAACAATGGAGAGGTCAAGTCCAACCCTCGATCCATGTCTCGCTTCCTGAACACGGACTACGTCTTCTACGGATTCGAAGACCGACACAGTCTTGTTCACAAGGTGACCGCGCGTTCCATGTACGCCCTTTGTGTCAAGGATATCGCGAAGGTCCCTTCGGCGTTTTGGGACAAATGTTTCACCAGTTATACACAAGGTACTGTAGACTGAAAGACATATGTTACTTGGATCTATGATCTCGCCGATAGGAGCAGCGGACGTGTATACGTAAGCATTGGCAGGCACCGCTAGGATCGCGGCAGAGGACAACATGCCACCTCTATGGAGTCATTAGGCGAAAACTAAGGAGCCTGGAAACTGAGGACGCGCTAAACACTCCAGTCAGAAACGCGTCACAGGCATCATAACAATACTGCTAATTTCACGAAGAAATGCACAAAAGAAATCACAGATTCACAAAGAATGATGACATAGGCAAAAACATCTGAACCACGTACAGTTCTAAAAGTTAAACACGCAGACAGTTTAAATCAGTCGCGCAACAAACATATATAGCGACCCCGGTCCAACTGAGGAAGAAGCTCGTTCCACTCCTCCACCGATCGGGCAAAAAAAAAAAAAGAAAAAAAGGAATTGTCAATTATTTTGATACCTAAACGGGACTATGGAAGAACGTGTCGTGGAATAGCCCCGAGCACATTTATGGTCATCATCAAAATTAATCCTAATAGCCACGAATAATTTGATACTCCATTTCTTGCGTTCAGTGATGGAAGGCGTCTAATACCCCTGTCACACGGGCATTTTAAAGGCTTTTAGAACAAGCTCCGTTATAAAATCGGCGAACCAGCTTTTTGAGGGTAAGAGCTCCAAAAACAACGAACAAATAAAAAAAAACGAAAAACACAAAGCGCTACTTGCAACTGAAGAATAAACTTCAGTTGCAAGTAGCGCTCTGTGTTGTTCGCTTCTTTTACTTGTACAATGTTTTTAGCGCTTTTACCCTCAAAAAACATGGATCACCAACTAGCCCTTCTACGGCGAACGAGCGCACGCCTTAGATCACGTGCGCACTCAACATCGCGAGCTGACTGGCTGATTATATAACAGAGCTTAGTGGAAAGGAGCTTTAGAAGGCCGTCTGACAGGGGTATTACTAGATCAGCAGAGCTGGACTTTTTGCTCTTTAACAGCCCTGTGCTCGACACCAGACACTGGCGACCCCTAGAATAAGTACGTCAGTTCGCACCAGCGGCACGCATGTGGCGCCAGTGACTGCATGCGTCCGGCTGCTGGCGCGAAGTGCCTCGCTTGGAACAACACTGGCCGAGAGGCTCGATGTTAGAGCCACTGACAGGGCGAGAACGACAGGGAGGTCTTTCGGTTTCGCACCTTTGACGCGGGCTTTCTATAGTCACCGAAAGGATGAGAACGGCCATGGGCAGGGACTCGTATTCGTCCCACTGACGGGACACGGGCAGCAGCTGTGGACGTCGTCGCGGTGCTCGCGTGAGGTCTGTGCCTACGCCGGCCCACCGCGAGCCACACAGAGTACCACTACTTTCACTAATAATAATAATATTATTATTATTGTTGTTGTTTCTCACGCCCGGTTTCCAGCACGCGCTCGATACCTTCTGTCGTGCTTTGGTTTTGCATTCTGCCTCCGGAACCATTCGGAGACTGGAGCTCGAAGTTCCAGAGTCTCCGAAGTGTTACCGGAGATGGTACCACTGAAACTCCTTCCTGCCGTTTTGATCCCTGTCGATTACCATAGCTTCTACGACGCGCCGGCGTCGCGCGAGCTTCGAGCGTGAAAGCGTCCGCCCAAGTACGACGGAAAGCAACGAGCGTGAGGCTGGAGGTCGCGGACCCGAAAGTGGCGTTCTGCCGCTCTCGCCCTGCGAGTGGCCATAGCGCGCTTTTTGCCCGCAGATGTCCCGCCTCCTGCACGAGTTCCCCGGCATGTGTTTGGCCGCGTACGACGTGGAGCGCGACGACGTGGACGGCTACTGCAGGGCCTCGGGCCACGACGTCGGCGCGCCCCTCATCGGAGTCCTGCACTCCATGGTCTTTCCCCAATAGCCGCTTCTTTCTTCTATAGATGCACCTCCTCCAAATAAAGATGAACGATACGATTTTGTTAACAAGCTGAACAAACCTCGGGTATTCGCAACTCTAGAGAGCCTAGATTTGGGAGACGAAGTAGCTCAAACCGTGAAGACCGTTTGCAATTTAATGGCCGTCGCCTTCTGTGCCGGTTGTTTAATTCTAACCTGAGTATACGTCTATTGCGACAAAGGGCAGATGGGCAACCTGAAAAACAAATAAACAGTATGAGAGTCTGCCAAGGTTTATCGCTGAACACATCAGTCGAACTCTACAGCTGGAAATGTCCTTCACCCAGTGAACGCAATAATGTACACCCGTGAGCGATATGAAGGTGAACAGCCCTCTTCTTGTTTTTGACGCTCCAGCAAGTTTTGGAACAAGCTCTGTTCCAGAAGAGGACTAGAACGCGAAGTTTAGACCGCCAAGCCACGTACCACTCGAGACGTTGGGAGTTAATATAGCTTTAGGGAGCCGTAACACAAACAAGAAACCAGGTAAGGTGTTCACCTTCATATTGCCGGCGGGTGTACGTTGGTTAACCTTTCTAAAATCATGTACAGACCGAAAGTAAACCCTTAGGCTGCCAACACGGGAAGTTACAGATCCAATCGCCAACTTTGATCTTTAGGAGCAGTGAGAACAAAAGAGAGAGATGGGAATCCCAGGTTCTCCAGCTCTTCCTAAAGCACAACAGTTCCCGCCCTTCGAGCGCGTCAGCGGAACGATTCTTCAGCGTCGCCGGAGATGTATTCCCAAGGAAGCGAGGGGAAAGATAACCGATGGAGAAGCAGCTACTGCTAAAGTGCAACAACTACCGAAAAGAAAACAAAAAAGCTCGAGGTACACCTAAGCACTTCTTATGAGTTGTGAATGCGAAAGCGTGCAAGCCGCTCGTCCGCTCCCTTTGTCGTCTGCTGCGTACCAGCTAGCGCGCGCTTCGGGATCTCGGAGGCCATGTGTGATGGTAAGAAGTATGGACTCGGGGTTCTGACGCGGTGGATGTAGGGAAAAATATATTGTTTGAAAAGAATCGGCATAACGTTATTGTAACCACGAAATATATACACACAAAGTCAAGTCCGGGGTGTTCTGCTCACTCGCCGCCGCACTTCTGGTGTTGTCGGAACCTCGGACGTTTTCCGGATGGCGAGGGCTCGATGTTCGGTGCCGGCGGTGGTTCCCCGGCAAACCTGGTTGGTGCCCCCAGGGGCCTCAGACGTCCGTCCGGGACATTACTTGGCTGCTGGGACCCAGTCTTGGGCAGTCACACTCCGTGCGGGAACTATAGAGGGCGCTTTGAAAAACGCGCGCAGCGCCGCTTGCGGAGGAGCTGGCGTTCGACAGTGAGGCGCGTTCAGCAGCCTGCGGCGCCTTTTCACATGCCAAGCTATGGCGGTGGAAGCGCGCACGGACGACACTTTTGCTTTTTGAGCCGATACGTTGAGGGTGACGTTGCATGAGTGCTGGGGCAGAAGGGCATTTAGCTGTTCTCCACTTCTTATGTATTGAGTTTGAGTCGTTATTAGGGGGTAATTTCTCTAGTTGCGGCCGAAGAAGGAGTTGGAGCAATTTTCCGAAAAGCAAGACGGCCACCACCATAATTGCTCTGAGTGGGAAATTTATTTCGCCCGTCACTGTAAACGTAGGACTGCTGGAACGATGATATTGGAGGCGAGTGAGATGTTCACTAAGTTTGTGCACGAAGTGTGCCAAGTTTCATTAAGACAGCAGGTGTGAAAGTTATGTTTATAACGGATAAAGGAATAAAGCTGTACCCAATATTGGACCCAAAATGTTGTGTTATAGCGGGCTGTGCGAGGTGCAGATTTAGGCACACAGGTGCTTGGACTTGACAGTAACATGACACAGCCCTTATTATACAAAAAAAAAAAAAAAAAAGGTGGCATAGGGAAACCGGGTGAAAATTTGGTTTGGGCGGCGTAACTCAATGGGAACCGGTTTTGACCATGAAAAGGCTGTCAAGAGAATACCACACACAGGTACTTTGGCATGACCGTAACTTGACACAACACTTATTATGCAAAAAAGAGTTGGCATAGCGAAACCAGGTGGAAATTTAGTTTGGGCGGCGTAACTAAATGGGAACTGGCTTCGACCGTCAAAGGCTGTCAAGATAATACCACTCATCGTGGGAGGTGCACACTTTACAGGTAGGAAGGGACCAGTAAACGGTACTTCCAGTTCGAACCACTTTGCGATAGGTGGCTCTAAAGTCGAGAAAAAAAAATTGTTGTCTACAGAACTTGGGGTGTCAGCATTTCCACATCCAAAAGGAGGCTGATCAAGAAAAAAAGCACACCACAAACTTCCATACTCAAACGTCGATTCTCCAGTGAATCCGAGTTTCATGGTTGTTTTCTTTAGATTTATATTTTTCACTTTTTTTACTGTTCGAATCTTCCTTCATGCAGTACAGATCGCGTGCCACACTGGTCCGGAATTATCATCGACACGTACGATGGGGACGAAACTTCTTTGGAGGGCATTCCTCCAACGAAATTGGCACTGCATACCCGCGAGTGTGGGATGGCATTTCAGTTCGTCCCATCGGCGCTGACACGTGTAGGCGTTACTGGTACGAAAACAAACGCAGAGCACAAAGCGGCAGTGTAGAATATGTCAGCCATGCCGACACAGGGGCAAGCATGATCGGGAGACCAAATTTCTCGCGTCGTACGGCACGGCTCCATCGTTGTCGCTGTCCCACAAAACATCGGCGAGGTAAAAAAAACTGTGAAACTTTGTCCCCACAAGATACAACGCATAACTGTCAAAGTACTTAACGACGTAGCACAGGCAGCACCTCATGCTGTGAACCCAGCGCAACCGCACCGCTCCGACTTCAATGCGTACCAACGTACGCGGCGTGGTTTCGGTTTCGTTTTCTCTGCGGTTCTCACTGCCTACTTTCGACACCGGTCGCGCGGCGGCGCGCCAGTCGCGTCGCTCTCGTTCTGAGTTCCGGTGAGCGGACGTGTTTCCTGGTTCTCCTCGAGCATCCGAAGCTAAGTGCCAGTTTTTCTTCTTTTCTCTCTCTTTTTTTGAGAGTTGATTGGAAGCCACTGATCTCAATGACAATTGCTGGATCGCGCTTGCCGCTCCCGCAAGTGAAGCCACCGGGCGTCACTCGCTTGGGATACGATTTGCCGTTTTTGCTAGCCTTTGCTGCGGTTTTCCAGCGTGCTGACGACACGTTTTCTACTCGTTCGTCGTCATTCGCCGAAGAAGTTTTTTGAAGACTCTGTGTATTGTTGAGACTTTCCGTTGTGAACACGTGGAAAATTTTACGAAAGTGCAGTGTCGCAGGAAAAAGGCACAACGCGTCGAAAGGAAGGGCTGGCGGCGTGTTCAAAGCATCCTTGGCACGCCGAAGTGCCGTGTCTCTGTGCCTTCGCGCGCTTGGATACCGACCAAGAACCGACGCCGTGTGAATGTGTTTAGCGAGTGCAATGTGCGTGAAGCCGTATCAAAAGGTACAACTCGTCGAAAACGTGTCACCGGTGTCGCGGCGTGATCAAAGCTTCCTTGGCACGCCGAGTGATGCATCTTTGTGCCTTCGCACGCTTGGATACCGGTCAAGAATTGACGCCGCGCCAAAGTTCTGAACGTGTGTCGCGCGTAGATGCCTTTAGATCATTTATATATATCGGCCACGGAGTTCTGGATCGTCCAGCTGTTCCGGTGAGTTGCTATCAATAAAAGGGGGAGATCTGTACGTATTCTTATGTATTATATTAACCATGGCTATGTCCCAAATCTACTCTAATAGATTCCGTGGGAGCACGAATAGGGCAACGTTGTACGTGGAGCCAGGGGGGTTTTCGAAAGCAAATGTACAAGACGGCGAGAATGAAAATCTTTGAAGCGCGGCCGATATGGTCGTGTGCAATCTGTTGACCAATAACAATTAGGCGAGTCGCGTAGGTTGATAATAAGCCAGCACTGATCAGTGATGAGGAGCTGTTGTGCACGGTATTGTGTAAATCGTCTAAGGACGAAAAAAAGACGTACCTTCTCCCCATCTCCCGTCGCTAGTGGACGCTGGATTAAGCTCGTTCCTAAACCGCGAGGGGAAAAGACGCTGATCCAGAGGCACGAACAGCTTCACGCACATTGCACTCGCTGAACACATACACACGGCGTCGGTTCTTGGTCGGTATCCAAGCGTGCGAAGGCACAGAGACACGGCACTTCGGCGTGCCAAGGATGCTTTGAACACGCCGCCAGCCCTTCCTTTCGACGCGTTGTGCCTTTTTCCTGCGACACTGCACTTTCGTAAAATTTTCCACGTGTTCACAACGGAAAGTCTCAACAATACACAGAGTCTTCAAAAAACTTCTTCGGCGAATGACGACGAACGAGTAGAAAACGTGTCGTCAGCACGCTGGAAAACCGCAGCAAAGGCTAGCAAAAACGGCAAATCGTATCCCAAGCGAGTGAAGCCCGGTGGCTTCACTTGCGCTGCAGCGAACAAGCGGGGAAGCGCGATCCAGCAATTGTCATAGAGATCAGTGGCGGTAGCAGTATGGTGGCTAGAAGGGGAGGTGGCAGCATTGGCCGCTGCGGAGTGTAGCGGCGGATCATGCTAGCAGCGGCGGCGCTGCTGTCGACACTTAGATCGGTCGGCTTGCCGGGCGACCGCCCGCGAACGCGCTGCAAGGCCGGTGGTTCGGACTTTGTCGGTGGCATTTCATACGCACAAGAACCACATTTGGTATTTGTGGGACATTTGTTCGTTACATTGATAGCAAAGCGCTATTTGTGAATGAGTACGGACAAAACAAAAATAACGCTGAGGACACGCAAGCGTACAGCGCATCAAGCGTGATCGGTTTTCCTCGCGCGCACACACTGCCTAAAGGTAAAGCATTTTTTACGCGTGAGCGTATATGCGCCCATTTTCACGAGAATCATGTCATGTCTGAAACGCAGTGTTTGTTTTGGCACGTGCA